CCCCCTTAAATCTAATATTTATTGACGAGTTAAGCAAGAAAAGTTATCACATAAAAAATACGCAATCAATAAACGATTATTATAAAAATTCATGTGATAGCAACTACAATTCTAAAAGAAATAGTTTATCATATAAATGTTATTTAGATCCCATTAATATCCGTTTAATATCTTTAATTTTTGTGGAATCATTATACTCATCAGCCATATTGATCAATTTTAAAGCATCTAGTACAGCATCAATTAAGGAATTTGGATCAAGATCAATTCCTTCTAAATGACTAAGTATTTTGTCACAAGCTGATATAAGAGCTTCTGATCCAGTTTGAAGACCACGACATAAATCATCCACTGCTGTGATACTTTTAACATTGACAGTTCCAGTCGTTTCATAAATTTTATTAATTTTTTCAATAACAGCATGAAATTTTTGTTCAGTATGATTATGCGAACTGTTGAGTATTTCATGTTGTTTTTCTAAATCCTTTTTCTCTCCTTCAAGTTTTTGCAAAATACTTGTTGCTTCTTCCGATTTTTGAGTTAAATCATCATTTGACCAATTTTTTAATTTTCTTTCAAGAACATGGATTCGACCACGTAATCCATTGAGATGTTCCCGTGCTATTCTTTTGCCATTATCTTTACGGGTTTTTTGTATTTTCCAGGAAAATATCCAAGCAGATTGTCGTTCTTCTGAATAATTATGTCGATACTTTTCTATCTCCTTTTTATACTCAGGTATTTGTGCTTTCAATCGAGCTATTTCTTCTTTCATTTCTGATTTTGCCGCCTCGGAATCTCGAATGGCTATATCATAAATTTGCTTTTCGTATTCAATTGAATCAATTTTTCCTTGAATTCTCCCGCATTCAGAAGATTTATTTGTTACTTCTTCTGCTCGTTGTAATAAATCAATTTCTAAAGCATCTTTTTCTTTTAACAAATCTTCAATATTATAACCTGTTGTATTACGTAACAATTGAAAATAAATATTAACCAAATCGGGTCTTGATGAATCAACAAATTTGGCTAACTCATTTTTAAAATCGGTGTTTAGTTGATTTCCGAGAGTTATTAAAGCATTTGCATCTGCTTTATTCATACCACGTTGAATAATACGCCAACTTTTTATGACAAATTTTGATAATATAGCACATGAATCAGCTAAACCCTCTTTAATCATCTGTGTCGTTGTAGAATAAGAAGTGAACAGTTTCTGTAGAACAGGAATAAATTTTTCCGGAAGTATACCGGTTGCTATTTTGATTATTTCTGATAGATTTTTCAATGCTGTCAAAGCACCATCAAATTTCAATTCTTGGAGCAGTTTTACTATTTGAGCTTGATCACTTGCATTAAATGTTACCATTTGTGGCTCATCCGTCGTTTTCACATCTGGTTGAGAGCAACAAATGAAAGTAGTATATTGTCAGTATAGATTTCTATGAGTGATATTCTACCCAGTGAAAAATATTTCTAAAAATAACGATCGAGAATGCGTTCCAAAAAATGAAAGCCCTTTTTTTAAGAAGAGAAAACGTTCCTTAAAAAATGGAAAGCATTCCATCCCTTTTGGAACACTTTCCATCATTTTTGGAATGTTTTCTCTTATTGACAGCAGGTAACTTTCTTGATCATACGACTCATCATTAATGAGTGAATCTGTAATTCTTCAAAATATTATTTCTGGGGTAGCTCGACGAGCTCTATGGAATGGTGTGCTCCAAATCGTTGTAACTCAAACCATTATTAAAATCATGTTTTTTTTTCTAAATCAGACCTAGCTTCTCCAAAGAACAACTAACTAAAAGTTCCAGCGTTCCTCACATCAGTTTCAACCTGCTTTGCTTCAGATCTTTGATTTTTGAATCAAAATAGTTTAATTCCAAAAGAAAGTATTCATCACTTAGAAGAATTCATTCTTTTAATGCTTCTCTAGAAAACGTAAAAGAAACGATCTTATTTCGATGAAATGCTATCTGCACCGTTCCGAAAGAGAATGAACTAGGATGGGTTCTATTGGTTTAAGAATGGTTCGGAATGCCTTTCCTTCAAATAGAGGACAATTTCTTAGTAAAAAAGAAAGTACCCCGTTTTGTTGTGGAACAGCAAAGAACGAGTTCCTCCAGACTGAGAGTGTTTCTTCTTGAAGATGAACGCATTCTTTACGTAGGAAAAAGGTTTCCACATTTTTATGAAACAATTCTTTTCCGTTTTTTTCCGAAATATTTTCCACTAGGTAAATCATTGTTATGTGTATACAATGCAGACAAAAAGATTTCCTGATATATAGTCTGGTTTCCTAATTCTTCGGGAAAAAAACACTTAATAATTCTTTTATGACTCGAGTTATGTATATCGTATGGAAATAATTCTTTGTTTCGGAAATAGAGCAAACATTTCTGTATTAAATTATATAAAATTAATTAAATATGCGAGAGATACGTGAAACTAATAGCTAGTCAAAATTAGCCAAACGACATGACCAGTATTGACTCATGCTCGGTAAGTAACCAATCTATATTCAAAAGATAGTACACATCGAATATGATAGAATATGAGTATTTTGAAAACTTGAAATAGGGTACAAATAGTATTTTTTTCAAACCAAACTATTTCACAACATTCTTAATTATTATCAGAAACTGGGTAAATAGGACTTTTTAACGGTCAAAAGTTCATTTTCAAGTAAAAACAATGTCACATTCGAAGTCCGTGTGCAAAACGGAGTCAGAAAACACATTTTATTGACTAAAAGAATTTCTCAAAAATCAACTCCTATCTACATCCCATCAGATGCTTCTCCGTATGAAATCTCCTATAGAAAATAGCTTGTGAGATATTAGGGAGTCGATTTTAGAGAAGTTATTTTGGTCGATAAACTATGTGTTTTCTGATTCCGTTTTGCATGCTGACTTCGAATGTAACATTGTTCTTACTTGGAAATGAACTTTTGATCGTTAAAAAATTGAATTTCTATCCAGCTTCTCATGATAATTCATAGTATTGTGAAATGATGTCATTTGAAAAAAAATACTATTTATGCCCAATTTCAAGATTTAAAAATATTTGTATTCTATCATACTCGACGTGTACTATCTTTTGAATATAGATTGGTTATTTAACCGGCATTAACTAAAACTGATCATGTTCTTTTCATGTGTTCCTAATGATGCC